CATACCTTATTTCCTTTTAATTGATATTATGGGGATAGTAATATCTATATCACACGGTAGTTGGTAAGGATTAAGGAAGATAATGTGTGATGCCTAGTTGCACAACTAGTGTTCAGTGTATGATAGCTGGTATACATAAGGACCTATAAAAATAAATTCAGGTTGTTTTAAAATTTTTTAAAAGACCAGCATTTCTAGGTCTAATATTAAGAATGTTCATATTAACATCCTCTTTCCCATTGTGCCTAAGGACTAGGCACAGTGCTCCCAAGAGCTCCATTTGTTTCTGGTGCCTTGCTGATTCTCAAGGCCACAGTACTAGAGGACAGATTGAGAACTGCTGCTTTTTGGCTTGAGTCAAGCTCTTTGTGACAAGGACAGGAATTAATCATTTTGGATTTCTGAACCAGTCAAGGCCTTTTGATTCTATGTATATGTTTTGGTGTTTTGTTTTTGCAGAGAAGGAGCCCTCAGTTCTAAGAAAAGTGCTGTTGGAAGAAGTAGTCTTGGCCGCCATGGTGTCTGTCATTGGCACTGCCACCACCCACCTGAGCCCTGAGTGAGTATAAGTTTTGCTGATAAAGCTAAAGATTGGGTTTTTAACACCATGGACTATAGGGGTGGGCAAGCCATAGGCAGTATTCTTAGTTGCAAAATCACCTGTAGAACATTTTTAAAACTATACATTGAGTTCCTTACTAGAGTTTAAGCTATAATAGAGTAGAGATTTGGTCTGTTTCGCTCACTGCTCTATCACAGCAGTCCCAAAGGGAATGTTTCCAAGCATATAATATGTGCCAAATTAATATTTGTCAAATACATAATGATCCTAGCCTGCACCACTGGCTCAGTGATCCTAATGAGAACTCCAGTTGGAAAGGCACTGCTGTGGAGGGAAGGGCTGTTTAGAATCCTAATCCCTTGATAACACCTGTACTCTGCCCCCCAGATTAGCTGCCCAGAGTGTCACCCGCATTGTGCCCCTCTTCTTGGATGGCAACACCTCCTTTCTACCTGAAAACAGCTTCCCAAGCAGATTCCAGCCATTCCAGGTAAAAGACAGTCTGATGGATCAGATGAGGGAGAATCTTGGGATTTGTATCCTTCAAACTTCTTCTTGTAGGGCTGATCTAGAGTGGGTATAGGAACAGACAAGCCTACTGCTGGCAGGACAGGCCTGAAACAGCTTTTTTTTCCCTTATAGGATGGCTCCTCAGGGCAGAGACGGCTGATTGCACTGCTGATGGCCTTCGTCTGCTCCCTGCCACGAAATGTAAGTTAGTACAACATTTGGGGAGTTGGATCTTGGGGTGACCTGGGCTGAAATTTGCCCCAGGCCAAGCTGATTTTTTACTTCCCCCACTAAAGAATTTAGTTATCATCTATCCTTCTGCCAATCCCTGCTGGCACTTCTTACTAGGTATCTTTTGGAGTTCAAGTATTTTCTGGGTCCGTTACATGGCCAGGTTTTCTGTAGGTGGAAATCCCTCAGCTGAACCAACTCATGCGGGAGCTTTTGGAGCTGAGCTGCTGCCATGGCTGCCCCTTCTCCTCCACTGCTGCTGCCAAGTGTTTTGCAGGACTCCTCAACAAACATCCTGCAGGTATTAGTGAGCCTGGGTTGGGAGCCTCCTCAAACCTTTAAAAAGGGGGCTTGCTGCCAGGTGCAGTGTCACACACCTGTAATCCCAGCAGTTCAGGAGAATGAAGCAGGAAGATCATAAGTTCAAAGCCAGCCTCAGAAATTTAGCAAGGGGCTAAGCAACTCAGTGAGACCCTGCCTCAACATACAAAATTAAAGAGCTGGGGATGTAACTCAGTGATAAGAGGAAGAGCTTGCTAGCTGCGTGTGGTGGCACTTCTCCGAAGCCTGAGACAGGATCTCAGGTTCGAGGCCAGCCAGGGCAACTTAGTGAGATCCTGTCTCAAAATAAAGGGCTGGCGGGTGTAGGCTCCATAGTAAAGCACTTCTGGGTTTAATACTCAGAACCTCAAAAAAAAAAAAAAAAAAAGAGCTTATTAGTAACAGGGCTGCCCCTGCTCAAACACTGTCACCAGATCTTGGGACAAGACTCTAGAGAAGCTAGACAAAGCATTACAGGGTTCTACAGTGGTACTCACAGAGAAGTCTTTATTGGGAGTAGACAACCTTCTCTTCTCCAATGCCAGCATCCCTGTGTTGAGTGGACTATACCAGGCTCTCATGCTAGTGTCTTATTTTTTCTCCAGATAAAATGATATTGATACAGTTTCTTGGGTATTCTGCACTTAAATGACTTACGTTCTCATCATTAAAGGAAAAAGTGCTGCCATTGCATCAGCATGTCCTGCTTCCTTTTTAGGGCAGCAGCTTGATGAATTCCTCCAGCTGGCTGTGGACACGGTGGAAAATGGCCTGGGCTCCAAGCCTTCACGCAGTCAGGCCTTCACACTGCTGCTCTGGGTAAGAGGTGGAATCAATTCTGGCTGGACTAGGCAGTTATTTGGTTAAATTAAATGTCCCTGATGACCCTGAGCCATAATCAGCTACCTCCAGGTTCTGGGGTTTGACTTCGTCTCTCATATTACAGGTAACAAAGGCCCTAGTACTCAGATACCATCCTCTCAGTTCCTGCCTTACTGCCCGGGTAAGTCCTTCCTTTCTGGGACACAGGAGAACTCAGACTTAAATAGGAACCCTCTTAACCCTGTTGCTCCTGGAAACCACTTCCATCCTCCTCCTTGGCATTTAAGGTTCTTCATCCCTGATGTACCTCAGAGATTCTCTTTTCTCTAGCTTATGGGCCTCCTGAGTGACCCAGAACTAGGCCCAGCAGCAGCTGATGGCTTTTCTCTGCTCATGTCTGACTGTACTGATGTGCTGACTCGAGCCGGCCACGCTGATGTGCGGATCATGTTCCGTCAACGTTTCTTCACAGATAATGTGCCTGCTTTGGTCCAAGGCTTCCACGCTGCTCCTCAAGGTAAGAAATCTGAAAGGCAGGCCCCCAGATATATAGACCTCTGTTCCACTTGGGAACAGTCTAAAATAATTTAGGACCCAAGTGCTTCTTTAGAGTTGTGCTATGTTCTATACCCAGAAAACTACTAAACGTCCCGATTCTTGCCCCACTTTTTACTTTAATCTGAGCTTGAGTGGTTTGCTTTCCTTCTCCTTTTGTATGCTGAAATCCCAGCTTTCTCAGAGATTGGAGTTGAGTTCTTGAATGACTGTCTAAGCCTGTTTCTCCCCAAGCTTCTCCATTTTTATTTTTTTTTTTTTTTTACAGATGTGAAGCCAAACTACCTGAAGGGTCTGTCCCATGTACTCAACAGATTGCCCAAGCCTGTGCTTTTGCCAGAGCTGCCCACAGTAAGTTTCTATAATCAGCCTCTAAGCAAGAGACAAAGCTTTTCTCCCATAGCCTGGACCAGAAAGGGGAGAACAAAGATCATCACAATGTGGTCACCCCACTTTTTCTGTTGCCTCTTAGCTTCTTTCCTTGCTGTTGGAGGCCCTATCATGCCCCGACTCTGTGGTCCAGCTGTCTACCCTCAGCTGCCTTCAGCCTCTTCTACTGGAAGCACCCCAAGTCATGAGTCTTCATGTTGAAACCCTGGTCACCAAGTTTCTGAACCTCAGTTCCAGCCCTTCCATGGTGCGTTGAGCCCTAGCACCTCTGTGGTACTTCATCTCTCCTCAGGTCCCCCTCATCTCTGTATGATTGTGTTCCAGGCTGTCCGGATCGCTGCACTGCAGTGTATGCATGCTCTCACTCACCTGCCCACTCCTGTGGTGAGTATCTCCGTTGTCCTCCCTGGCCTGGGAACCTCTTACAAGAATCAGGGAAGTACCTCTTTGCCTTTATCAAGTGAGATTAGCCACCCTGCTGTGTGGTTAAGATATGAACTACAAGGTACAGATAAGCACAGATGTTTTTTCCCTTGAGGCCAGAATGAATCTAAAAAATACCGATCACCCAATAAATAGAATGGCCATCCTGCCACTTGGCATCCTCTAGAATCACTAAAAAAAGAGTAGGATATATTGCATGTGCTTAGCACATGTGAGGCCCTTGGTTCAATCTCTCCCATTAAAAACGGATAGGATATATTCTGCTCTTTTTGAATATTAGTTATACAAAGCCAGAGAAGCAGCTCTTCTGGTTGCTAAGTTTGACCTTGGTTAAGATTATCTCCTCTGACTCCACAGCTCCTACCATATAAACCACAGGTGATCCGGGCATTGGCCAAACCCCTGGATGATAAGAAGAGACTAGTGCGAAAGGAAGCTGTGTCAGCCAGGGGAGAGTGGTGAGTTCTAGGTCATGGGGAGAGACGGGACCAAAACGAGCCTTACTGCTGATGCTGCCGATTTTCTTTATGCTTACAGGTTTCTGCTGGGGAGCCCTGGCAGCTGAGCCCTTATTTCTGGCCTAGACTCTTCTGACAATCTAACCTGGAATTACTAACTCAAGCCATCTTGCCTAAGGCAAGAATACTAGCCTCTGCCCGCCTTTCCCACAGACACAGCACAAGCGCTGGGCCTCTGCTACATGGCTATACAAGAAAAACCAGAGTCCTAATTTCTAAAGGATTCGTGAATTAATTGAGCAAGTCTACTTGTTTTTGAAGGAAGATCTTGGGTTGTGGGGCCCTTCTGTTTTATCTCATGTCAGGAAAAGGGAGCTATGCTGCTGAGGAGTGAGTGCAGATGACTGTGACCCTGAAGACCAGGGATAGTGGATAATAGTGAACGCGTGTGTACCTGCTGGAGAATAAAGGTTTCTTTTGGTAATGGTGCTAACTATCAGAGATAGTCCCCCTCACCCCACATATGCCTCAGTAGCACATAGCCAGAGGTAGCACAGTGATGTTTAAGGGTTAGTCAAGAATTCTGCAGGGCAATTCTCCAAGTAAGGGCAATGAAGGTGTGAGCAGAATATCTACTCACTAGGCCCTGACCCTGATTTCCCCCACCCTTCCCTGCCCTAGAACTAGGCAAAGAGTTGAAAACCATATACTTTTACAAATCAAACACCTTTATTTTTGTTCCCTTCATTAGCATGTGAGAAGTGGCAGTGACTCTGACCTCGGCAGCAGGCCTGTTGTCTTTGCCCCATTAAGAAGTTAAGATCCCAGATGTACCCTTCAGGTGTTTCCCCAAACAACAAGTGGGAGAGGTGATGGCCAGCCCCAGTGCTGTGACATGGAGAATATCAGATCAGCACCGGACAAGGTAGCTAGCTGCCTGACCCCTAGGCTGGGGCTAGAACTTGTTTGCCTGAGTAAAGGGATTTTAGTCCTAGGATTTCTCCACATTGTGTCTTGCTTCTGCCCTGGCCAGGTTGGTCCTTCAGTTGTTCCTGCATAGTACCTTAAGGCAGGCCCACTGGCTCCTTTTGATGAAGGGTTCCAAGGAAAGCTGCCCTTGGAGGCCCTTGAGACAGTGTAGGCAGCAGAACAAATACTCAAGTGTGGCTGGCACAACCTAGCTCACACCGCCATCACAGAGGCTGAGTGAACAGTCACCCAGGGAGGGGGGTCCCAGCTCATTCCATTCCCATGGGGCAAGTGACTAGAAGGTAACAGCACACGGGTAAGCCAGTGCCTACAAGAGAAGACAGAAATGTTTCTGAGTTCCAAAAGCTCCTGGTGTCTATTATTATTTATTTTTCAGCAAGCATACATCAAACACAAAGGTAATAAGAGTCTTAATTTCCTCTGCCTAATACTATCCATTTGATCTGCTTTCTGGGCCCTTGAAGACCTTTTGAGGTTTTGAGCTATTCTAAGGGGCCTCTGCAAGCACAGTGTTAGGCAGGAGTATAATAAAGATGAGAAAGGGAGGAAGGAAAGAACTGACATTGTGATGGGTTGTTACTGCCTCAGTAATTCAGTTTGAAGAATGACTTCCCCTTGTCTCTAGGGTTGAGAGAGCTAGCTTTGTTTATTGCCTCAGGACTCTAGACACTGCCTACAAATGAAAAGTGATTGGCAACTACTACATACTACCCTTTTCAGGATTTTAGTGTAGTCATCTTAAACCTGATCTGCTCCTTAAGCCATGGTGTGAGCCCCAAGCCCTTCTGTCTTAAATGAAAGCAATGTTCTTTACTTCTACAATTTAGAACTACAAAGACAGAGGGACATGTGGCTATTTAAACTCATGAAAATGAAATCCAATTAAAATCCTTCAGTGGCACTATCCACATTCTACATATTCCCAGGTAGAGGCCATCTTTCTCATCACTGAGTTCTTTGGGCAGCACTAGTCTCTTACTTTACCTTCCTGTGTCCACACCCAGGAATACCTTCCAGTTGTCCAGACAGCCATAGTTGTAAGGATTCCTAAATACCTAGAGCCAAGGAAAAGGAAAAAACATTTCTACAGACCTCTTCTTTATAATCCCCTTCTCGTTTTGGAGACAATTTTGGCTAAATTGAAGCCCAGGTAAGCAAGTTCTGGCGTTATGTTATAGTTACAGAGCTGTCCCTGACCATGTCCTCTGCTTCAAGGATACAGGTTCAGTTACCTTCCTGCCCACCCAAGCCCTCAACCAACCCCACTCACTCTGCCCTTCGCCTGTAGTCGACGTCTTTCCTTCTTGTTGATGTGCCTTTCAATGCTAGTCTCACCCCGGCTGATGAGAACAGCATGCCATATGGTTAGGGCACCCAGGGCAAGTGCCACAGAACTAAGAAAATGGACAAAGATTGGTGGAAATTAGGGCCATTGGATGTAGGTCTGAAGTTGAGCTACACAATGATTCTTAGCAACCTCTCTGCCTCATTTTTCTTATCTCCTGGCATACTTCCTAGATGAACATCAGGCTCCCATCTACTCAGGAGGAGGCTGAGGAAGGGGTATCACAAGTTCAAGGCCAGCCTAGGCTATTTAGTGAGACCCTGTCTCAAAATTTTAAAAGGGCTGGGGATGTAGCTCATTGGAGCACCTCTGTAGCATTTGTGAGGCCCCAGATTCCATCCCTAATACTAAAAAAATAAAATTAAAAAATGTATCAGTGTAGGCTGAAAATAAGTCATGTGGAAAGGAAGGGGGAGAAATAAGTCTATTGAGACAACATTCTATATTTCCTTAAAACTCATGCTTGGGAGACAGTGAAGGGTAGCAAAAACACTGGGGGATAAGGTAAGGGTGACATGAAATTTGCATTCCAGCTCTAGCACTCCTAGCTATGTATCAAGGGACACATCACTTCATTCTATAAATCTATAAAATGCAGTTACCTACCCTTTAGATAGTTACTACCAGGAATAAATAAGTTTAACTTACCTTGGCACATAATAAATAACAAGCATGCTTACATCCTTAGTGCTTGGTAAATAGCAGTGCTCATGTCCTGAGTGTTCCCTGCCCCAAAATGCTGGAAAAAAGTGCTGACTCTGCCAACCTCAATTAGACTAGAACAGAGGCAGGTCATTCAGGATGGGTTCCTGCCTGCATTTGGGCACTTAAAAAGGTTTTTCTAAAGCTGCCCTACCCTTAAAACTATCAAAACTGAGTTAAATACCTGCACAGGAACCAGAGGTAGACAAGGCTCTTGTGAGTTATCCTTTCCCGAAAGGAGAAGGTGGGTGGTGGGGTCTGGTGATAAGTCTAGAAAAAGAAAAAAGAAAAGCCTGGCTCCTTTTGCTCAGTTGGTCTCTATCAACTGCCACCAAAGCCCCCAGCACCTATATGCAGGAAGTATTCCAAACCCAGGCAGAAAAAAATGAAGAATAAAGCTACACAGGGGACAGAACAGCAGGCGAAGGAGTGGACCAAACCTGGTGGCACCAACACATGGACAAACACTGGGCTGGGCAGGGGAGGTCTGGACAAGATGGAAAAGCACAGGAGGAGAGCTGACCCTGGGCCTTTAGGTTGACAACATGAACGGGGCTCCAGGGGAAGCTACTCCATTCCACAGCCATTACTCCTTTATGTGGCTGTATCCCCAAGAAAGGAGACCAGACCCATAACCGGCATTCACTAATTGGAGAGGAAAGAATCATTAAGAACTCAGATGGGCAGCAGAGGTACAGCATATAAGCCCAGGATGTGTTCAGAATAAGGAGTTCTAAGAAGCACAGAGTGGGGATTACCCAGATGCAGATGGACCAGCTTGATGTCTGTCCCCTGGAACCCCATTACACAGACTAACACAGGCTCCTTGCTGCTCAGGCCATCACCAAGACAGCCCAAAGAGGTGATGATGGGATAGTCAAAAACTGTCACATCCCAGACACTTCCAGCTTGCCCCAAGCTACTTAGTCCACCTACTGCAGCCTCCCTAAACATCCCTGATTCAGCCTACTGAGGCTCAACAAGCCCCTACAACTAAAGTAGCAGGCCCAGTTGTCTGAGCAGCTCTATGTTCCTGGCCTGAGCAGCAGGAGGTAGTGGGGTGGGGACAGCCCACCTGGTTGGCAACCGCCTGCAGTTTGTTCTTGTCGAGCTGTTTCATTTTCTAAGGGGATGGAAAACAGTGCTGGTTATACTCTTAAGGCCCTGGGGTGGGGGTGCTACCAGTCCCATTCCTTAGGGACAGGCTCACACCCTGAAACACTGCACCATTGAGTCACCCTGCTCCTAACCGTAGGCTCACCTCAATGGCAGCATAAGCCTCCCGGAAAAGGTCCCAACTTCCATAGCTGCAGTAGACACAGCCCAGAGTCATGAAAAAGCAGAAAGAGAAGAAGTACCGATGGTTATAGTGGCCCACACAGTTATTTAGCCAGGCTGGTGGGGGGATGATTAAGGACAAGATTAAACAATTTCAGTGGTGTCCAGGCCTCTGGTTCAAACTTGGTTAAAGACAGCATCAACCAAGCAAGAACTATTTTCCAAAGGCAAGAAAATATGGGATTATTTCCTAAGGTTCAGGTCAAAGTCTCACAAGCTTTTCAGAGCACTCAAGTACCCCCAGATTCATGAAAATGAATCTGCCAATACTTTAACCTCACTAGGGTTAACTGGACATCTGTATGGGACAACAGAAGGGGACCCCATGGTTCTATTTGGTACCCCCAGGGGACAGCCAGAGAAGCCCTGGCATCACTTTCCACCCAACAGCTATTAGCATAACAGCCTACAAAAGAAACCTGTTGGAAGATCCCTTGCTCGGGCTGGGGATATAGCTCAGTTGGCAAAAGTGCTTGCCTCCCATGCACAAGGCCCTGGGTTCAATCCCCAGCACCACCAAAAAAAAAAAAAAAATTCCTTGCACCCAGAGAATCCATCCCAGAGAGCCTATGAGCCTCCTGTGCCCCGCAAGAGATGATCAACCCCCACAATGTCTTTTCTACTAACTTCTCATGAGCCCAGTGTTCTCTGCACGGTGAAGTCTTAAGCATGTGGCCATTAACCCTGTATAGTGCTCTGGAACTAAAGAAGTCAGCCTCAGGCAGAAGAAAGCAAAAGGATACGGCAGTGATGGTCCATCTTCAGCACACACCTGTGAGGGAGGGACACATCTCTGTTTAGGTGGCCATGGTTCTTGAGATGTCAGTACCAATCCTTTCCTACAAGGGCCAGCATCCTGCTGAGGTGGAGAGGGCACAGACTTTGAAGACAGCCAGGCTTTGCTTCAAACCCAGCTCTATAACTTATTGGCTATGTGATACTGGACAAAGTAATCTCTCTTGAGTCTCAGTTTCCACAAGTAGTAGGAATGCCTAACTCAGAACCATCCTAAGGACTTATGTTTCAGGAAATAAGAGAATGTTGCCTGGGACGAGATGGATGCTTGATACATGTCTTAGCAAACTCTTTTAAGTCAGGTTTTGCCCTAGGGCCACAGCAAGAGAGTCACTGCTGGGGTTCATAAAGAACAAAGCCAAGACCAACCTATTGCAGATGCTGCAGTGGTGTGTTCGGGCAGGTTTGGGATAAATACACTTCTTACAGATGGAGACTGTGGCAATGTCATTCCTGCCCTGTGAAGAAAGAGCATCATGACCACTATGGCAGCACCATTTCTATGCCTCAAAATATTCCATGACACTCTCCCACTCCTGAGACTGGCTCAGATAGCTGCAACTCTGCCCATACCTCCCCTCCCCCCAGCGGAACCCACCTGGGGTGGGTACCCAGGTGGAGTGGTGATGGCCTGGTAGTAATGGAAAACGATGAGAATCAGATTCCAGTGACTGTAGAAGAAATGCCAGCAGAGTCGTGGCACCGAGTAGGTTTGAAGGATGAGAGGCAGGACACACAAGTAGGCGATGGCCACGATGGAGCCCGTCAGCACTATCACCAGCACCACGAACACCTGCCAACACCAGTGAGGTCAGGTAGACACAGTAAGAACGCTACACCCAGAGGAGACTCAGGAATTTCTCTAGGGATAGAGGGCTGGCCTCCAGAACCTAATGCGGGTCTATCAGTGAGAGACACGTCTCTCTGCTCCCCCCAAAACATTCGTTTTCCTGCTCCTAGGCATCACTTACCACCCCAAACCAGCGGATCACGTTGTCCACCAGCCAGTAGACGGGCTCAAAGGCAGCATCGACAGCAGTATCACCACCCCCAAAGGAGTTATAGAGCAAGGAGCGCAGGCAGACCTTGCCATAGCGCCAGCGCTGTACCAGGCCCCGGAGCAGAGGTGGGCAACGGCGCCTGTAACCCAGGAGCAGAAGCAGGCGCAGACAGAGGCGGGCTGGGCCCAGCAGCAGGCTCCGCTGACCCCTCATGGCTCCTAGGAGAGGATACCATTGTAAGGATCCAGTGTGAGTCCTATCCCTCCCTCCCCAACCATTGGGAAGGCCCTGAGCACCAGCTCAGAGGGCAAACACCTAAGACTAAGACCCAGCTAGGCCAGTCACCAGCTGTGAGGAATACGAATGGCACTTCATTTTTCTATGGAATGTCCAGTGCTCATGTCCTAACCAGAAAGAGGGACTGGAGGTTCTGAACCTGCATAAATTGTATTTATATTACGCCACAGGGGTGCACAGCAAATCCACTTAAACTAAAGGGGTCATGGTATTAGAGTAAGGGAGAGAAAGGTGGCATCACAAAGGAGTCTTTGGAACTATCTGTATAGAGACCATTGAGAGAAGCATGGCCCACATGAACAAAGCTGCCCAGTACATCTTGGCAAGAACACTGTGGCAGAAGTTTCCCAGGGCCTCCTGCCTGCCCTGACCACCAAGGGTATAGCATATAAATCCTACACATAGATTTGCCTTGATGCTGTCTTGGTAAAAGATACTTTTTCCTACTCCCTCTAGGCTGATGTTCCAGGCCAGGAGACTCAACCTGGTAGCAGGAGATTACTGTCTCCTGCCAAGACAGCCAACCCTCAAATGACATAAGATGCTTTGTCTCCAATTCCACTCCCAGCCCTACCCCAAGGGTACAGCAGCCAGAACAACTTCAGGTATTCAGAGCAACAGAACCAAGGCTAGAGACATAGCTGTGGGAAGGATCTCCATGCTGGTGGCTCATGAAAACCTCAGGGCCTGCCCTCTCAATGACAAGTCTTCCCTGATGCACTAGTAAGACACAAAAGGACCTTCTCTACAGCTGCTGCCCTTGGCCCCAAGCTTTCCAACCAACTTTCCCAGCTGTGCAAGAGCCTCCATCACTTGGCACTCTCCACCTCATCCACAGCATAGGAGCTCACTGCCCAGGCAATGACCAGGACACAGATGTTCTACCAGACTTTTTCCATGACAGTCTCAATTCTGCAGATTAACTCTTTTAACAGAAAAGAAATTATCTGATTTTCCCCTAGAGCAGCCAGGGAGGGCTGCTTTGTCCTTAACAACTCCACTGACTTATTTAACAGGCAGCTCAAAACCCAGCAGAAACTGGAGGAGGCTGCTGTGCTATGGGGATGGTTTCAATTCAGTAACTAGAGCAACGTATTCTCTTTGCACTCTGGCTCATCCCCATAGAAGATCTTTCAAAGAAAAAATAATTACCTCCTCCTACATGCCATGTAAGCCTTACAGAGGAAAGAAACCCAGCAGACAAGGCCTACAAAAGGAGAGAAAGACAATTTAGGAGGGCCTACCCAATGCACCAGGATAAAGAAACTGGCCATTCCCATCACCTTCTAAGAAGATAAGAAAATTAAAAGGAAGTGTAGAAAAGAGGAAAACCAGTAAGCTCAGATTTGGATGCCTATTGTTTGGAACCATGATTTGGCTAAAGCATGAATTTTCAAAACAGTAGACAGCCACAATTAAATGTAAGAATAGAACAGGACAACTGCCCCACAACAAATCTAGGTGACTTTTAGACTGTCCACACCACTGTATTCTCTCTTGCTACAGATAATGGAGAATTTCCTAGTTGCTAAAATACTTTCTGAAACAACGGCATACCTATCAGATACATTCCTCATATGTAATCAATAGGAATCATATTCTACCTCAAAGCCACCACTAGTAGTCTAAAAAAATTAAAAATTATCCTTGTTAGATTCTCTACTTTTCAGATTCTTCTCAACCACTTCCTGAATTCCTGAGCTCTACATGAATGTCTACCCCAAAGGCTAGATTTAGCAACTCTCCTCTTCCCAAACCCTAACTACTTAGGGTTCAATTCTGCCCCTAAGTAGTTCTGTGACCTTAGGCAAATCATTGATCCCTGCTGGAATTTAATAACATTGTGTTCTCATTCAATGAGGAGGTAAGATTAAATGGTAAGATCCCTTCTAGCTCTAACCCTTTATAAATATACGAGTCTGTGTGTGTGTGTTCACACACACATATTTGGTAAAGTATAAATGAAAAGTTTATAAAGTACTTAGCACAATACCTGGTTCATGAAAATACTCAAATAGTTGTTAAATTAATGACCTGGAGGGTTGCAGAAGTGGAAAGCCTGGTCAGATATCTATCTGTTCTACAAACATCAGCAAGGTCATTCCTGAAATGTGATAACACTAAATAAAGTGTCTGCTGCTAACATTCTTCCTGATTAATAAAGAAGAGAGAAAGTAAAATAAAGAAAATAGAAACCGTAATTAGAATCACAGCACAAAAAAGAGCTAAAAGACATTTTAGAAAACAAGTCTAACAAGAAGTCAACCCAAACAAGTGAACAGAAAGCTTGCAGATGAAGAAACACAAGTCAAATTTGGTTGAACAAAATATGAACCCAGGGCCCTTCCTCTCACTTTTAGCTACTGAGACACCGGAGGCATGGGGATGCCAGGGAAAAGATGTTATCCATGGGCCACAAATGAAACAGGTTTCATTTCAGGAAATTGAAATAAAGCAAACAAAAAAAATTATGTGTTGGGATGGGGGGCTGTGAGCTCAGAGTGAACAGGGAAGGAAATAGAAAAGCACATTTCTACTCTCATACCAAGATAAACTCTTGACTAGTCCCATTCCTCAGTAGTACCCACAGGCCATGGTGGCCATCTGCCACCAGATTAGAGACTGCAGGCCACAACACTCCCCTCATCCCTGAGCTCTAAATCACCATCTGTTTCCCTAGGGAAAAACCGATTGGCAAAAAAAAAAAGGGGGGGGGGATAAGGAGGTACAGATTCCAGAACAGCCAGAATTTAGACAAAATAGATCAGAGTCGTCGCAAATTTCATCTAGACTAAGATGCTGCTCTCAAGTTGTTTACAATCTCAAGTAAGGGATGTCAGACTTCAGTAAAGCACAGTATTTCATTCATATGCAGACATCCCTTCTGGTTTGCCAGCTTTAAAAAAAGAAGTAATGCATGCACTTAAGAAGGGGCCCTCACAACTGGAGGATCCAATGCAGGACTGAAAGCTGCAGATACAAAACCCAGGAAAATGTTCTATATCTAAAAAAAGGGCAGTGATGTCAAACTGCAAAGGACAGATGGCCAAAAAACTTTGGTTCCGGCTTGGGCTCTACCTCGAATTATCTTTGAGCCTTTGAACAAGTCAAACCCTGTCCCTGGATCTGAGTTTCCAAACCTGTGAAATGGGCAAGTAGGGTTGGCGGACCTCCTTCCGGCTTTGCGCCTCACAGAAGCCCGGAGGGTACGCTCTGCCAGAGGAGGGCACGGCCCTGCAGGGCGGGGCGCGCAGTGAGCAGGAACCCGGACTCTCATCAAGGCCCTGGGACAGGGCCCGACCCTAGAAAAATGGACAAGGATGGGAAGCAAGGGCCGCGACTTCTCCTTACCTGCAGCCTGCCGACTCCTCAATCAGCCAAATTGAACACCGCAGCCTCTGCGGCCCCTCACCACCACCCCCTCCAGCTCGGCGCCCGGGCCAGGCCCGGTTCAATCCGACCCACCATTGCCCGTCACCCACAGCGCCAGTAAGCGGACCCGGACCCGCCGCCAGCCCATCCTCAACCATGAGCGCAAGCGCGTGCCCTGAAACCTCGAAGTTCCACCTCCGATTTTTTTTCCCGGAGCAACCTGGGAAATGGAGTTTACCCGGGAGACATAGCCCCCGCTGATCACGTGTCAAAGTGCACCAATTGGCGCATATCTTACTGCGGAACTGCGCCGGTGTGTGACCAATGAGGAATCGGCTCCGTTACATCCGGGCTCTACAACAGTGGCAGTCATGGCGCCACCCGTGAGATATTGCATCCCTGGTAAGTGAGGGCTGCCCGTACAGAGCCATGGATAGTGACAAAGTCAGGAATCCTGAACTGCTTCCTGCTTCTGGGAGCCCAAGGCTGATGCAGCGTTTTTTCTGCAGGCGAACGTCTGTGCAATTTGGAGGAGGGCAGCCCTGGCAGCGGCACCTATACCCGGCACGGCTACATCTTTTCGTCGCTTGCGGGCTGCCTGACGAAGAGCAGCGAGAACGGCGCGGTAAAGGAGGCGGCTTCCCTTTTCCTGCCTCTCTTAGGCTGCCTTTGAATTCTGATTTTTAGACACCGGCGCCGCGGACGCGTCTTTGGTGTCTCACCAGTAAAACGATTCAGCCTCTCGGGGTTTCCCGTCTGTGATCGCCACTGCTGTGCCCTTAAACTACCAGTTTGGTTTTTCTCGCCCGGTTGGGCTGCCGATACTCTGGGATGAGGCTGGAGCGAGGGCAGATGCAAACAGAGTAGCCCAGCCCAGCAGTGAGCTGAATCCTATCAGAATGTCACCTACCTTTTCTCCTTCTACCTCTACTATTTCCTCCTCACTCACTGCAATCTAGTCTTACTGGCTTATTTCATTATCACTAACACGCTAAGCGCCTTACTGCCACAGAAATTTTGTATACCTGCCATTTTTCTGGAACACACTCCTCTTCTCCTTAGCTTGTGTATTTCTTACATCTTTCAAAAGCCTCTCTAGTGTCATTTTCTCAAAAAAATCCACTAGACTCACTGGTTGAGGAAAAGGGTTTGTAGGGGCTTGTTTTGTTAAAAATTTACAACAAACTATTCCTTCCCCTGAGCATTTCAGCACTCAGGTTTTCTTGTGTGTATGTTTGTTTGTTTTTTGTTTTTTTTGGCACCAGGAATTGAACCCAGGGACAGTTAACCCCTGAGCCACATTCCCAGCCCTTTTTTATTTTTTATTTTGAGACAGGGTCTCACTAAGTCGCTCAGGCTAACTTTGAACTTGAGGTCCTCCTGCCTCAGTCTCCTAAGTCACTGGGATTACGGGTGTGAACCACTGAGCCCAGCTACCATTAGCCCCTTATGAGAGAAAACATATGGCCCTTCTTCTAACTTTGGCTTATTTCTGTTAGCATAATGTACTCAAGTTTCATCCATATTCCTTCAAACGACATGATTTTATTCTCTGTGGCTGAATAAACTTCATTATGTATATATGCCATAATTTGGCTATTGTGAATTGTGCTGCTAAAAATCAAAGGTTAGATGCTGGAAGTAGACTCTATTCGAGTTGTCAGGCCTGAGGGCCTCTTTCATTTTTGTCAAGGAGAGAGCTAACCTCTCCTTTCATACAATGCTCAAGCATTTTCATGTGTCAGTCATAGTGCTAACCTCTGAAGATGTAGTAATAAGCCAAATACACTTAGTTTTTTTCTGTGGAGGGCCCAGTCGAAATTCAAACAAATAAATGTTCAAATGAGTGTCTCATTAACAATTGTGATAATTGCTTTGAAAGAATATTGTACAGCACCATGAGAACATGTAACCAGAGAACCTACTCTTGGTCAGTGAATGGGACATTTAAGTTGAATCACCTAAAGGATTAGAGGATTAAATTAGAGTTGAGTGGGTGAAGAAAATACAGTTCTAGCTGAAAGAACAGGTTAAACAGAGATTCTACTGAAGTGAGAAGCAGTTTGTAAGTTGGGAAAATTAAAAGAGGTTTAGAGAGTCTTAGTATAGTGGTCAGGGGAGAGATTGATAAAAGATGAAGCTGAAAATATGTTTTACACCAATAGCCAATATCATGCTTAAAGAGAAAACTCTAGACATAATCATATAAAATATAAGAAAACAGTATGACCTTTATATAACATTTATTTGGAAATTCTGTGCTATGCAATTAATAATTAAAAGAAACTGAGGCATTATTATAACACTTGTTATAACAATGAGTCAAATTATGCATGATTATAGGCAATAGGGTTGTATACCAGGAAATTCCAAGAGAATTTTATAAAATTTATTAGAACTCATCTGGAATGTTTATAAATTCTAAGGTATTTTTCTGTTATAAACCACAAATACCTTTATTGTTCTCTCTGTAGCTTCCTGTGGTGTCTGTGATGAGAGAAACAGAGTCCCAATTACTTCCAGATGTGGGAACTATTGTAACCTGTAAGGTAAGTTGGTCCTAACCTACTGCTTAGGATACCCATCCAATACTGAACTCAGGATAATTCTAGAACTGCATTTTCAGTATGGTAACCACTAGCCACTTGTGGCTATTGAAATTAACAAGTGTTAAAAATTCACTTTGTCAAGCCCGGCCGGTGAGACACACCCGTAATCCCAGTGGCTTGGGAGGCTGAGACAGGAGAATCAAAAGTTCAAAGGCAGCCTCTATAAAAGCGAGGCACTTAGCAACTGAGACTCTTGTCTTTGAATAAAATACAAAAATAGGGCTGGGGATGTGGCTCAGTGACCGAGTGCTTCTGAGTTTAATCCCCGGTACCTCTCTCCCCAAAAAATTCACTTTCTCAATCTCACTCCCTTATGGGTCAGCACATGACATTTTTATCATCACAGAAAGTTTGACTGGACTATACTACTGGACTAGAAATTCTAGGATATTGATCAAGGCAGCCAAATTCAGGCATCCATAGTTCCTTCACTGAGCTGGTTTATGAGCATGTAGTTTCTATCTCTGTCTGAGAAGTGAGGCATACCAACAGGTGATAATGAGATCTGTTTTTAAAATGTGAAACCAAGACTTTGTCTGCACAGAAGCAAAAGACTCTTCTCTAGCATTCCTGTTTAAAGACCTTTACGGATTTTCTTTAGTTGTTGATGGACCTTCATTTTTACTTTTTTGTATGTGGTACTAAGGATCAAACCCAGGGCCACAAACATGCTAGGCAAGCACTCTACCACTGAGCCACAATCCAGCCTTGACTTTTAGGGTTTTTGAGAGAAGGTACTGATTAATGTACTAATCTGTAACTGTAACACATAAGTTACCTCTACCCATCCCCACCCTCTGCCAAGTTCACTTGTAGCTTTTGGTTTCTCTATAAATTATTCCAGAAGAAAATATATGTGTTACTCTGAAAATAATTGCTGAGGCAATTATTAGGCAGCAAATAAAACATAGATTTAAATTCTATTCACTATATAAGCCTGTTTTAAATTAGACTTGTGGACTTTTAAAATCTGCACCCTATTATTTCACTTGATTTCTGAGTAACCCTATCATATGGCCTCTGTGGCTCTTATTACACAGATATCACTTAGGTAGTGAAAAATAGGAGTTAACTTATTTTAAATTATACTTAGTAAGGTTGTTTGTACTAAAATCATGGTAATTATTTATTTATTGCTATGTCCTTGAAGTGACATCTGCTAATCCTCTGATGCTGATCCTTGTTCTATTGCACAGGTCTCTAGCATCAATTCACGCTTTGCCAAAGTGCACATCCTATATGTGGGGTCCACACCACTTAAGAACTCCTTTCGAGGAACTATCAGGTAAGAGGTACCCTTGTCTTCACATGCCCCAGTACCTGGAATACGATTGGAATGTTTAGGAACAATTACAGTTCCTACTCATTTTTCTTTTCTTTGTGCCAATAGTACCCCCAAAAAGAAATATTCTATGAGGAAAATATTAATAAGGGAGGGTTTTAAATTATAGCCCCCCCAAAAAAATGTGTGAAGCTAAAAATTAGGTGTATCAGGATGATTCAGACCAAACAAATCAAAAGCATTTTAGGAAGCACCTTTTTTTTTTCTTGAATTTAGTATAGATTAAACCCCAAAGTTTTAAGACTGTGGGTGAAATAATAGGATTGTTCTCCTGTGGATTTTTTGAGAAAGGATGAAAAATTCTTGCAAACCAGATAATTTAACTTGTGAGGATCTTTCCAGCATCAGGATTTAATATGGTCTGGGACAGTTTAAGTTCTCCTGAGACAGCAAAGTTCCCTTACCTTCCTGCTGAATCTGATCTGCTTTTCCCAAGCCAGAGGTATCAATATTGACTTTCTCTGTGGTCCAAGATTGGGAAAATGTTTTGTCCTCTCCACGTGGGCTAAGGCTACCTCTCTGCCCCATGTCTGTGGGTGGCAGCTGGGTCCCCACAGACAATTCTTACAATTAATCTTTCTGTCAATTCTTTTTTTATAGAAAGGAAGATGTCCGAGCAACTGAAAAAGACAAGGTTGTTGGTTGGTTTGGGTTTTTTCCCCCCCATGGCTTTAGGGAACTTGATTTTTTTTTTTTTTAATTATTATTCCAATGAATTTCTAAGTCCGAGGAATGTGAAGTTCATGGAAGTTTAATATATTCTGTGCTATCATGTGTGAAATTTATCTTGCTATCCTTTTCCACTACTTTAAGAGTTTTATTCCTTCAATTGATATCAGCATGTCTAGTTTATTCTTTGCATTTGAAGTTGGTTATTTATTCATTGCTCTTCCCTCAGACTTATTTTGGGCCCTTTCAGAGCCAACTATAGTGCTTTTTGTTTAAGTCAGAGTCCTGGTCATGTTATTGAATTCAAATTCTCCCATTCATATTATGATGCTATAGGAGCAATGAAAGGAATTGATTGACAAGTGATGATGACTTCTACATTCTGGAATTAGAAAGTAAACTAGCTCTACCAGAAGGATGAAATTTCAGGTAAACCTGATCTAGACTTTTCACATAACATTCCTATTCTTTCTTTACAGGTTGAAATTTATAAGAGTTTCCGCCCAGGTGACATTGTTTTGGCCAAAGTGGTATCCTTTATTTCCAGTTGACATGTCTTTTGTCAAAAGAAGAAATGAAAATAGAGGAACAATTCAAGTGACTCTAGGGGAAAGACTTAAAACTCCTCATTTTCCTTCACCAGTATTATGTGACTAGATCTCTTTAGGTGATGCACAGTCCAACTATCTGCTGACCACTGCCGAAAATGAGCTGGGAGTGGTGGTGGCCCACAGTGAATCAGGTGAATTGATCCATGTTTCCATATCCTTACGCTAGTGGTTTGGGATTAATCCATTGTTTTTCCTGATTTTCCTTGGTTGGTTTGTTTTTGGTTTTGTTTTGTTTTTTGGTACCAGGGGTTAAACCCAAGGGCACTCAGCCACTGAATCAGATTTTGTTTGTTTGTTTGTTTTTTTAGAGACAGGGTCTCACTGAGTGGCCTAGCGCCTCACCATTGCTGAGGCTGGCTTTGAACTTGAGATCCTCCTGTCTCAGCCTCCCAAGCCTCTGGAATTACAGGCATGGGCCACCATACCCAGCATTTTCCTTGTTTTTTCATTATCTTAGAAGCAATATGGGTGTAGATACCATCATGTGATGCAAAATGACAAATTTTGGTCAACAGTGGACAATATATACTATGGTGGTCCCATAGATTATATCACCTAGGGCTGGGGGTACAGCTCAGTTGTAGAGCGATTACTTACAATGTACAAGGCCCTGGGTCTGATCCTCAGGATTTAAAAAAAAAAATTATATATATATATATATATATATGGTGATATTGTAGCCATTTTAAATATACTCTTAAGGTATTTGCAGTGAGAAACATGTCCCATCCTTAACACAGGACTCTGCTTACTACTGAGATTAAAATGATTCTTCCTAAGTTGGAGTTCCAGTGGCATAATCAGTTAGTGCTTAGTGTGCGGTACTTGCAAGAATGATACTCCCAGCCAGGTGTTGTGGTGCATACCTGTAATCTCAGCATCTTGGGAGGCTGAGGCAGGAGGATCTCAAGTTCAGGGCCAGCCTCAGCAGCTTAGCAAGGCCCTAAGCAACTTGGTGAAGCCCTGTCTCTAAATAAAATATGAAAAAGGGCTGGGAATGTGGCTCAGTGGTTAAGCATCCTGAGTTCAATCCCCAGTGCCTCATCCCCTGCAAAAAGAAAAAAAAGAATGATATGCCTAAATCTAAGCAAATAGGAAATTAACTTTGTAAATCAGTGGAACAAAGTTTTTTCTTCTGTAAGAGGTATGGTTTTGTAGGTAACCACTGATAACCCACCCCTATCCTAGTGCTGGGTATGAACTCAGGCCCTTGCACATACAAGGAAAGTACTCTGCACATACTTGGCAAGTAAATGCCAAGCCTAACATTTCATTCTCATACTTACCTGAAAAGAGGTATCTCAGGAAAATATCTGGGGTCCCAGCTCTAACACTGTCTTTTTCCCTCTAGGTGTCCAGATGGTTCCCATCAGTTGGTGTGAGATGCAGTGTCCTAAGACCCACACTAAAGAATTCCGGAAAGTGGCTAGAGTTCAGCCTGAATTTTTGCAGACCTAAGATGCTGCATATTACCCCATGGAGGGGGTAAGCTATTTCCAAGAGTATGTGATGAAAATAACATCAAGATGCCATGGTCTTTATTCAGATACCTGGGGTCAGCCAATGACCACCTCTAGAAAAATCTGCCAGTAATTTATATAGGTGGAACATAATTTTTGTGAACCTTTTAGTAAATTGGATTCTTGAGGATAAAGCTTCTCTTAGGGGGATACCAACAAACTGTAACTTTGGAGGTAGCCTGATAGGCCTTTTAAGTATATATTTTTTGCTGTGACAAAGAAAACATTTTTATTAAAAAGATTTTATGGTTTCTGTTGTCTTGAACAGGTGAAGGTATCTAAACAGTGTCAGTTATTAGATTAGGGGTTTGTTTGCCACATAGCACCCATTAACTGACGTGTCAGCTGCTTGCTTGCTCTAGACAAAAGCCTGATTGTTGATCTCTTGTATTTTTTGTGTCGTTTTATATGCTTCTGCTTTCTAGGTGCCTAACACTGGATCAAGCACTTTATACACCCCTCTGTTAGGTACATTATAGAATGTATGTAGTGGATCAGGTAGCATGTGAGTAGTTTGGTAAACACACTGATAGTGGGTATTCCAGAAAATGTTTTTTGCTTAAAAAGGACAAAGCAGTATCATGCAAGATAGCCAGGGAAGGATTTGTGTGACATGAGATCAAAAGGAATTAAAGAGCTTGGTATATGAAGTTGTCTAGGCAGAGAGAAGCCCCAGCAAAGTACAGAAGCAAAAATGATGGCATTAGTTTGAAGATGAGAGAGATAAGTTAAGCATGAAGAGGCTGCAGAGGACATTGGAAGGAAAGATGAACATGAGATGGTTCTTCTTGGAGATGTTGCTCAAAAGCCCATGACTCCAATGTGTGCTGACAGTGATGGAGGGTGAGCTTTGGAGACAGTCCACCTAACTTTATGCCCTCTAGTTACTAACCTTCAACAGATTAGGGAGTTTTTTGGTTTTATTGAAAATTTTGTTGGCGGGGGGGCTGGGGTTGTGGCTCAGTGGAAGAGTGCTTGGCTAGCATGTTGGAGGCAACTGGGTTCAATCATCAGCACATTGAAAAACAATAAATGAATAAAATATTGTGTTCACCTACAACTAAAAAAAATTAAAGAAAATTTCCCTGAGGTAACTGTAGGTCCACATGCAGTTTTCTTGTTTGCTTGGCTGATTCTGTTATTTTGGGCAGTGGTGGGGATGGAGCCCAGGCCTTTGTGTGTGCCAAGTACACACTCTACCACTGATCTACTTCCCTAGCATGTGCAAGGCCCTGGGTTCCAACTCTAGCACCAGAACAAAAAAGAAATAAAATCTCCAGCCCTGCAAAAAAGAATGAATACAGAGATCCTGTGTACACTTGGCCTATTTTCTCCCACTTATATATGACATTTTGCAAAATTATAATTGCTCATTGGTAGAGCACTTGTCTAACCTATGAGAGGCCCCGGGTTCCATGTCCAGCACTACCTAAAAAACTAATAAACACCAGCATGTTGACATTGATATTAAGCAAGTAGTTTTTATCTGTTTTCTCATCTGAGTAGTAGTGTCTCATAGGATTATTATGAGGAAGAAACACATAGAAGTATTCAGTACCTGCTAATAGTATTAATATATATCATTTTTATTATACATATCCAATTGCCTTCTATCAAGTACTAAGTACCAAGCCTTATGTTAAAACACTTTGTAGATTGTTCATTAATAAATACTTTAACTTCAGTGTATTACAGATAGTGCTACAAAGAATACTTGTAGGAACTGGGGTTGTTGCTCAGTGGTAGTGCTTACCTGGCATGTGTGAGGCCCTAGGTTCAATCCTCAGCACCACAAAAAAAATTTTTTTTTGTAAAAAATTCGTTGTCAACTAAAAAAAATTAAAAAACAAAAAAGAAGAAAACTTGTATAACATTCATACTTGTGCATGCCCATGCACTACTGATTCCTGGAAGTAGAATGCTGGGTCTAAGAATATGCACAAGCCAGGTGCAGTGGTGTGCACACCTGTAATTCCAGCAGCTCAGGAGGTTGAGGCAGGAGGATCATGAGTTCAGAGCCAGCCTCAGCAAAAAGCAAGGTGCTAAGCAACTCAGTGAGACCCTGTCTCTAAATAAAATACAAAAAAGGGCTTGGGATGTGGCTCAGTTGTTGAGTGCCCCCAAGTTCATCCCTGGCACCAAAAAATATATATATATACACACACATATATGTGTATATATCTCTGTGTTTGTATATATATGTATGTGTGTGTATGTATATGTATACACACACACACACACACACACAAAGCTATTCAGGAGGCAGAGATGGGAGGATCATAAAATTGAGCCTAGCCTGAGCAATTCAATGAAATACAACCTTTCAACCAACCAAAAAAAAAAAAAACCATACAGAATAAGGTAGTGATTAGATGGCCTTTTTTTTTGGGGGGGGGGCACTAGGGATTGAACCCAAGGTCTTATGCATTCAAGGTAAGCACTCTACCAACTGAGCTATAACCTCCCTAGATGGCCATTTTTCTTTACCCAAACAGTGTGGCCTAACCTGGGCTACCATCTAATGTTTTATTTAAATTCAGAATATATTTGTCTTTCCTATCAGTACTAAAGATAACTGCAAATGAACAAAGTTTATTTGCACTCTGAGTAAATTGTACCCCTCTATAATTATTTCCCACATCTCAATTTCTAGCTATAGTATATAGATGTTCACAAGAGTAGCAAATATTTTCATGATATAATTTTGTAGGGTGTAGAAGTGGAGGCCAACTGGTGCCAATTTTTTTGTTTATGTGTCACTGTTTCCAAAGAGCATTTGGATCAACTAGTTAATAGAATTCCCTGATCTAATACAAAACAAGTTAATTTTCTCAGCAGTAAGCGTATAATACTATACAAAGCTATGTGCCTCATAACAATATGAGCTCCTTTTAGGACACTATTCTGTTTTATCTGAATCCCCAGGACCTAGTACTTTACACATAACAAGTATTCAATAAAAATTTTGCAGGTATTCTCATAGTCAACTGAGCAGCTGTGCCCAGTGTTAGGAAGGGACCATTGAGTGATAACAAGACCAGGTGTTTTTAAGTTCCACAAGGGATTCTGATGTGTTCAAAGTGAGAAGTACTATCTTGTAGCTGTGGGTTTCTTAGTGTTAATGGTAGCTGATAGAGGTGTTCCATTATTTTCTTGTCATAAGGCAGGTTTAGTCATGCCTTATTAGTGTAGAGTCTGGAGACTTCTAGAAACTCACATACTATTAGCATGTAATGATTGTTCTAAAACTCCTAATCACACTAAGCTTTGCTGGATGCTAAGATCCCTCAGAAAAGAGGTGTACCATCACACAGGAAAATATTGCACATCACTCCTTTATTATACTGATCTGGAAAAAAGATTTATTACAGTTATGCTAAATGAGTACTGGGCCTTTGTGGTAGGGCCAAGCAACTGGAACAAGACTCAGAAATCAGACACAGTAAAAGACACGCTTGGACATGATCAAGAGGCATTTCACTGCCACAAAACAAGGCAGAGGAGAGATTCTCTAAGATACATAGCAAGATACACTCCTGCACCTTATAGGCCAAGGAGCTTATCCCATATTGGTGTGAGGAATGGCTTAGTTTCTGGTGACCACATGTGGGACTAACCACCACTAAAAAAAACCCAGAAGGGTTTTTTTTTAGTATTTATTTATATATATATACTTTTTCTTTAGTGAAAGTAAATGTAACAAAAGTTAGGGTTGATCCCAACATTCTGGAGCCAGCTCCTCTGGGGTCAGGGATTTGTCTTTCTTAAATCACCATGGAGGTTACTTTCGTATTCCACTGGAATGACTAGAGCACCCTGCTTCCCATCTTCCCAGTGACCTGAATACAGAAGAGTACAGAACTGGCTCTTTGAAATACAAACAGGCTCTCTGGTTTCTTCTCATTGGTCATGCCTTGCCACAATTCCTTCCTACTTTTCTCAAGAAAAAAAACCCAACAACTACAACCTCAACTCTTCTGGATATGAGGAGGCTTCCCTGGGCTTAGATTGAGAACCTGTGCCCCAGAGTTTCTATTCTGATTACAATCTACAAAGGGAGTGGGTGCAGGAGACAAAATGCTAAAATTAAAGTGGGAACTACTGGTCCCCATCTGCAGCTACAACTTAAGATGCCCACAGATGTGGTCAGTATGGTGATGCAGGAGAGAGGTGCAAAGGAATGGATGGACAGGGTCTTCCTTGGTACAGTAGTCTGCGATCTTGCCTTTATTTCTTTGCCTTGCCCTGTGCAGCCACGGCTTCCATCGCTTTACGAACGGTCTCTTCATCCCCCAGGAACTGCATGGGCTTGATGGGCTTCAAGTTCTTGTCCAATTCGTAGACAATGGGAATACCAGTTGGCAGGTTCAGCTCCATGATGGCCTCTTCAGAGAGACCTGAAAAGAGCCATCCTGATCAGCCACACAAGGTATGAATCCACATCACCCCTCTAGGTTTACTCTTCATCCCCCAGGTGAGAAAAGACTTTGGTAGGAATTAAGACCCTTTTCTGATCTTTGTAATAATAATTAGATATTTATAATAATAGATTGATTCCATAAGGAGTGGCCTTTAGGACTAATTTCTCAAGCCACTAAACTGAAAAGCAAGGAAAAAAGTGTGAGAATGTACACAAGATTATGGGGTGGGCCACCAACAAACTACAGAAAGGTGCATACTACAGATATATCCCTACCTAGTGAGATCTAAACCTACAGTGAAGCATGACTATCCACATCCCAAACATCCTATATAGTCCATCCTTCTGTGAAAATTTGGCACTCTAGGCTTCTAGATCCTCAAAAGCTATGGCACTCTGGGCTTCTAGATCCTCAGAAGCTAAACAATGTAAGATGGAGATTTATATGTGAAATTGAGCCAGGCTGAAACTGAAGAATATTTTATCAATAGTTTCCATCCTCGTCCAGAGATGGCCATCTCAAACTATCATAAATATTTTTCTGAACCAGGTCTAGAATAGGACCTGAGGTTCTGCATGTATAACAAGTTGTCAGGAGTTCAGCTGCTACTGCTCTGCCAACAAATTTTGAGAAAGGATAAGTGTCTTATACTTACTTATACCACTATAAGTCAATCTAAATTATCTAAGGCTATCAGTATGTTGGCCCTTTCCCAAGGGTCTCCTTTATACTAAATTATGTCCCTAATTCGGGAAGTTCTGCTTTATCCATCCCTGAGGGCCCATCTAAAAAATGCACATACCCTCCAGATGCTTGACAATGCCCCTAAGGCTGTTGCCATGGGCTGCAATCAGAACGCGTTTCCCCTCCTTTATCTGGGGGACTATTTCTTCATTCCAGAAGGGCAGAGCTCTGGCAATGGTGTCCTTCAGACTCTCACAGGAAGGCAGCTGATCTTCAGTAAGGTCTGCATACCTACGATCCTATACAACAACAAAACTTGTTTACCAATTATTACCAGTAGCATTCAATAAATGGCTTTCAGAATGTATAATAATTCTGCCATTCCTCATCTCCTAAGGAGTTAAGGGATGGATGAAGTTCTCTCACCAAGGTTCAGCACATAGCTGCCAGCTTAGGAAAAAGGATCATTATCCTGCCACTCCCTCCCCCACTACTCAATACAAAAGAAATATAACTTAGAAAAGTTATGCAATAAGAATTTTCCCAGTTCATTTTAACTTGTGATTGATTTAGGAAGCTTAAGAATGGGTTTTATAAAATAATATGACAGTAGAGGTACAAATATGGAGATAAAAATTCTTCTGAAATAAATACTCAATTCATATTGTAACTAGCAGTCATTCATTGGTAGAGGAAAGACTCCATTAACTATTTTATCATAAATTATAAGCTCAATGGGACCAGGAAACTACTAATAAAAGTTTAAAAATAATAACAATAACGAGGCCCTGATTCTAACCTCTGGTTCTAGGTGAAGTGATCAAACAGGTTTACCCATACCTTACTGATATTGCTGTAGAAGGGGTGATCAGGCTCCATTGGAGGCGGTGGGACATCATAGGAGCGCCTCCATATCTTTACCTGGGCCTCGCCATGCTTGGCAGCAGTTTCTGCTTTATTGAGGCCAGTCAGACCCCCATAGTGCCGTTCATTGAGGCGCCAAGTCCTCACCACTGGCAGCCACATCTGGTCAATGGCATCCAGCACTGTCCAGAGGGTTCGGATTGCTCTTTTCTGTACTGAGGTGAAGCAGATGTCAAATTCATAGCCAGCATCTGAAAATTAGAAGTTCCAAGTGCTAAGTTAACCAAGTTCACTCTGAACCATAATTTTTTTTAACAAATCTCTTATACAGGTATCCGAATTAAAATTATTTGGCAAATATTTTATTTTGTATATTTCCATAGTAAATGTGATATCATGCCTTTGAGAAAACAAATTTTGTTTGTTTTTTGGTACCAAGGACTAAACTCCGGGGCACTTAACTACCGAGTTGCACCCCAAGCCCTATTTTGTATTTTATTTA